CTATGGCAGGGTGATCAGAATTGTATTCAGTACTCCAAATGTGGTCTGACCAATATCTTGTACAGCAGTAACACAACATTCCAACTCCTGTACACAATGCTCTGACCGATGAAGGCAAGTCTGCCAAATGCCTTCTTCATCACCCTGCCTACCTGTAACCTCACTTTCAAAGAACAATGTACCTGCACCCCTAGGTCTTTCTGTTCACACAGCCCAGGGTCCTACTATTAACTGTGTAAGTCATGCCCTGGTTTGTCTTACCAAAATGCAACACCGCACATTTATCTAAATTAAAGTCTATCTGTCATTCCTTGGCCTACTGGCCAGTTAATCAAGGTCCTGCTGTACTCTTAAATAACCTTTTTCACTGCCCACTATAACAATTTTAGTGTATCCGCAAACATACTAACCATGCCTCCTATATTCTCATCCAAATTGTTCATATAAATGACAAACAACAATGGACCAGCACCAATCCTTGCAGCACACCAGTAGTCACAGGTCTCCAATCTAAACAACAGTCCTCTATCATTGCAGTCTGTCTCCTACATCAAGCCAATTTTGTATCCAATTGGCTCGCTCTTCCTGGATCCCATGTGATCTAACCTTACTAACCAGTCTCCCATGCAGAGCCTTGTTGAAGGCCTTGCTAAAGTCCAGAACATCTACTATTCTGCCTTCATCTATCTTCTTGGTCACCTCTTCAAAAACCTCAATCAAGTTTGTGAGACATGACTTCCCACACACAAAGTCATGCTGACTATTCCTAATCCATCCTCGCCTTTCCAAATGCATTTACATCCTGTCTCTCAGAATCCCTTCCAACAACTTACCCAGCACTGACATCAGGCTCAGTGGTCTGTAGTTCCCTGGCTTTTCTTTGCAGCCTTTCTTAAAAAATGTCACAACATTAGCCACTCTCCAGTCTTACAGCACCTCACCCATTGCTGTCAATGACATAAATATCTCTGCTAGAAGCCTGGCAATTTCTCATCTAGCTTTCCACAATGTCATGGCATACACCTGATCAGGTCCCAGGGATTTATCTATCTTCATGTATTTTAAGATCTCTAGCACCTCCTCTTCTGTAATGTGGACTCTTTTCCAGATATTAATATTTATTTCCTTGAGTCCCCTAGCTTCCATGTCTTTCTCCACAGTAAATACTGGTGGAAATATTCATTTAGGATCTCACCCATCTCTTGTGGTTTCACACATAGATGGCCTCATTGATCTTTAAGGGGCCTTGTTCTCTCCCTAGTTGCTCCTTTGCTCTTAATGAAATTGTAGATACTATTTGGATTCTCCTTAATCTTACCTGCCAAAGCTATCTCCCTGTTTTTCCCTCCTGATTTCCCTCTAAGTTTACCCCTACACCCCCATACTCCTCAAGGGTTTCACTAGATACCAGCTAACTATATCTGACATATGCCTCCTTTTTTTTCTTGACCACAGCCTCAACATCTCTAGTTATCCAGGGTTCCCTAATCTTGCCATCCTTGCCTTTCACACTAATAGAAATATGCTGTCCCCGAACTCTTGTTACCTCACTTTTGAAAGTGTCCCACCTGCCAGACCTCCTTCTATCTGCAAACTGCATCCCCCAATAACTTTTGAAAGTTTCTGTCTAATATCATCAAAACTGGCCTTGCCCCAATTTAGAACTTTTAACTTGTAGACCGGGCCTATCCTCTTCTGTCACTAATTTAAAACTAAATTATGGTCACTGATCCCAAAGTACTCCCCTACTAACACTCCTGTCACTTGCCTTGCCTTATTTCCTAAGAGGAGGTCGAGTTTTGTCTTCTCTAGCACGGCCATCTACATATTAATTGAGAAAGTTTTCTTGAACACACTTAACAAATTCCTCCCTATTGAAGCATTTAACACTATGGTAGTCCCAGTCTATGTTTGGAAAGTTAAAATCCCCTACTATTACAACCCTATTACTTTTACAGGTATCTGCGAGTTCCCTACATACTTGCTCCTCATTTTCCTGCTGACTACTGGGGAGCTGACAGTACAATCCCATCAAAGTGAGCACCCCCTTCTTATTCCCCAGTTTTACCCATATAGCTTCACTGGAAATCCTGCAGGAATATCATCTCTAAGAACTGCCATGATGTTTTCCCTAATGAAAAGTGCCAGCCTCCTCCTTTCTTCCCTGCCCTCCTATCCATCCTGTAGCATTTATATCCCAGAATATTGAGCTGCCAGTCCTGTCCCTCCCTCAGCCATGTTTCTGCAATGGCTATAATATCCCAGTCCCATGATCCAATCCGCATACTGAGTTCATCTACCTTATGTGTCAGGCCTCTCGCATTGAAATAAATGCAGTTTAATTCATCAGTCTTCCCTCATTCTCTGCCACGCTCTTGCCAGTCTTGTCTGTTTAACTTGCTTTCTTTAACTTCAGTACCAGCCTCAACTTTCTCTCTTGCCTCGCTGCTGCTTAGAGTTTCACCCACTGCCAGACTAGTTTAAACTCTCCTGAGCAGCTCTAACAAATCTCCATGCCGCGATATTGGTCCTCCTCCTATTCAGGTGCAACCCATCCCTCTTGTACAGGTCACTTCTACCCCAGAAGAGATCCCAATGATCCAAAAATATGAATCCCTGCCCCCTGAACCAGCCCCTCAATCACACATTTTTCTGCCCTATCCTCTTATTCCTACTCTCACTAGTATGTTACACCAGGAGTAATGCAGAGATTACTTGAGGTCCTGCTTTTTAACCTCCTGCCTAACTCCCTATATTCACTCTGCAGGAACTAATCCCTTTTTCCACCTATGTCATTGGTACCAATGTGTACAACAACCTCTGGCTGCTCATGCTCCCCTTTGAGAATTACTGCAACCCCAGTCTAAGATGTCCTTAACTGAGGCACAAGGAAGGCAACACACTATCCTGAAGTCTCACTCACGACAGCAGAAGTGCCTGTCTGTGCCCCTGGCTAGACAGTCCCCTATCACAATTGCTTGCTAAAACTTTGCCATACCTGGCTTTACAGCAGAGCCAGTTGTGGTGCCAAAGACCTGCCTGCTGCTGCTATTTTCCCCTGAGAGGCTATTCCCAGTCCCCGCCCCCCCCTCCAAACAATATCCAAAATGATATACTTGTTTAATAGGGGGATAGCCACAGCTGATTCCTGTACAATCTGCCTACCTCTCCTGGTGGTCACCCAACTACCTGACTGTACCTGTGGTGTGACCACCTCCCTGAAACTATCAATCTCACTCTCTGCCTCCCGTACGCTCCTCAGTGCTTCCAGCTGCCCCTCCAAATGATCCACATGGTCGGAGAGGAGCTGCAGCCAGACACACTTCCTGCAAACGCAGTCACCAGGCACCGTCGACTGACAGGAGGAGCATACCACTCCACTGACTGCCATCTCTGGCCCTTTAACAAATCACGGACTTAGGGGAATAAGAAAGGTCTTAACTTACCCTTGTGTTGTTGATGCTCACCCTCCTCGACAAAGGCTGGTATTCACCTAGGCCTACTCTTAGATCTAACCGGCAGCACCTCGACCACAAAGCAGCCCCTTGCAAAAAATGGTTGGAGCAAGACCCAGCAATGCCTCCCTCCCCCACTTGCCTAAACCCCCACCCTTAGCTTAACTCCCAATGTTTGCACACTCTTGCTGGTCACACTCCGTTTTGGGAGTAAAAAGGACAGTGTTGTGGAATTAACATCGGCTTGGGGAAGAAAGGATAGTGATGACAGAGAAAGTGGTTCACGATGTAAAAGAGGAATTTAGAACTGTCCTTTTCCCTTCAAGATTACATTGTGGTGTAGGCCAAAAAGAAAATTTGTGGTGGTCAATGCACATCTGATACATTTGAAGAAACATCAAAATGCTTTGGTGTAGCAGGATCTGGGTGTCCTTACGTATGAGTTGCAGAAAGCTAGTAAGCAGATAAAAAGGAAGGTAAATGAAATTTTGATATTTATTGCCAAACGAATGGAGTATAAAAGTAGGAATGTGTTGTTCCATTATACAAGGCATTGGCGAGATTGAATCTAGAGTACTGCAGATTTAACACAGTGTAGAGCTGGAGGAACACAGCAGGCCAGGCAGCATCAGAGGAGCAGGAAAGTTGACATTTCGGGTCAGGACCCTTCTTCAGCATCCCACTGCGAAGCTCCAGCATCATTAGTTCTTACAATCTGTATACTGCATATAGTTTTGGTCCCCTTACTTGAGGAAGGATGTAACACAATGAATACAGTTTAGAGAAAGTTCATTCCAGAGATGAAAACCTTGTCTCATGTGGAGAGATAGAGCAGTTTAGGTCTACGAAAGTAGTGTGTATACTTGCTAGAGTTTAGGAGGGAGAGAAGAGATCTAATTGAGGTAAATAAGATGCTGAAGGGGCTTGATAAAGTAAAGCAGATGTTTCCCCTTGTAAGGCAATCTAGGTCAAGAGGTCACAGTTATGGGCAAAGAGGTGGCCAATTTAAAACAGAGATGAGGGGCAGTTGCTTCTCTCAAATGGTCGTGAATCTGTACAATTTACTATCCCTGAGTGCAGTGGACGCTGCAACACAGGATAAATTTAAGGAGTAGATCGACAGATTTTCAGTTGAATGGGGAGTTATGAAAGTTAGTTTTTAGTTACAAAAGGGTTATGGGGAGTGTGCAGTAAAGTGGAGTTGAGGCTGAGATGACATCAGCCATGATTATGTCAAATGGTGGAGCAGGATACTCTGCCGCTAACGGCTGTAGTCTTATATTCTGACAATGGGCTACCAGTTATTCATGTCTGAGCCTGCAGCCCTCAGTTCAGAGGTCACAACTTAAGATAGTCAAGGATGATATCTCCTTGGGGCCTGGTGCACAAATAATTGCTGTGTAAATGTAGTCTTTCTCCCAAAGTTCCTCTCTTGCATGCATCTTTCAAGTGCAATCTACTGAAAATTTCCAATAAATCACTAATAATATTTGAAACAATACAGTCCTTAACTGGTTGATTCCTTAAATACTGCTATTGTCCTACCTTGGAACTTTCACCAGGAGCAGCATAAAGAGATCTGCCTCAGACAGTTTACTCTGGTCTCCTTCAAACCTTTTTAGGCGCTTTACCTGAAACAGCATAATAAACTGTAATAAAGCTAGTGAATCTACTGTGATATTGTTCACATTAGTTTGGCACTTTGGATGTAGTACCTGATATTTACTGTGTTCCTGTTGCAGTCTAATATAGCAGCACTTCACCCATCACCATATTAAAAAAATGTGAAGCAATATACCACTTGACATTTCCTGACACCTCCTGCTTAAAATCTACAAGGTTAAAATAATCACAAAGCTCTGCTTTTATGGTTTGTATTCATACTGGAAATCAAGATCAAGTGAGCTTTTGGGCTTCTGCTCCAAGGGGGACTTCTGTCCTCCCTAAGCTCACCTTAGGACACCTGCATTATGGTGGTCTGGCCAATATGTGACTCCACATCCACAGTAAAGTGGTTGACCTTGGCTGCCCTCTGAAATGGCCAATGTATTCAATTCCAAAGCAATTATGAATGGACAAAACACACATGCCATAATAATTTTAAAAAACTAACTTGAAGTATATGTACAGCATATCTTACCCAAAAACACAAACCACACAGAATCATTTGCATTATCATTCATCTGTATCTTTAGAAAGTCTAAGATCACTAACTTGACTTTTTTCCCAAAAACCTCTTCTCCTCAATTATTTGCATTTTAATTAACTTTTTTCTCTCTCAGATTGATTTTGCAGTATTTGCTTAAAGTCCAAATACTTCATTCATTTACCTATCCTTAATTTTGCCTTTATTTTTTCAGTTATTTAATATTTAATATTTTCTTGTACTGATTTACCATTTAAAGTTGTTGATCTTTCTGAAAGTCTTACTAGTGTGGAATTGCGCAGGGATGTTGTTACCCATTGTCAAGTCTCCAATGATTGATATCTGGACAGCATTTAATCATAATGCTTTAAGCAATAAGCAAAAGAAATTCCATTCATTGCCCTGAATTCCTACGTTTTTGTCAACTGTTTCATGCATATTAGATGGTGTGAAAAAGGAAACCTTGTCTATTTATTTTTGTTTGCTGATGACACTCTGTAAATCTGATGGTCAGAGTACACACACAGCTTTGGCACTCCACAGGCACATTATAAAACTCTTGAATGTACAGAATTTGTCCACTGCAGCTTGTTATCTGCATGATACACATCTAGATGAAATTTCCAATTCAAGCCTTAATATTTCATCTACCTGGGAAGATGTCCTGCAAATATTTCTAGTATTAAATTAATTTCAGTTAGAAGTTTATTTTTCAAGCTGTATAATCTTTTGTGCTAAGTTATAACAGTTGAGAAAGCTAGTCATGCCATATTTGGGCACATGGGTGATACAGGGATCATTAGGAAAGTGGCAAAGAGAATTAGGTACTGTGGCATCAGAGGCATCCCCCAAGGTAAATGATTAGTGGGGATTGGAGAAAGGGGGTGAGTGTGGGGTGGGGGGCAACTGGAAGGTAGGGTGGCCATGTATGGGAAAGTAGAAATAGCCATAAGGAAAACAGTACCGGTTGAGGGTGATGTAAAAGATGACAATGGATGAGGCATGGGTTATTGGCCCTTGTCCTTTGGTTTTGAGGTTGTGAGGAGCAATTGGAAAAATCCAGTTTCACATTCAAGCAGGTATATTTCAAAGCCTTATGTGGAACTGAGGTAGGCCATTCAGCCCATCATACCTTTTCCATCATTCTCGATTATGGCTGATTATCTCCTCAATGCTATTTTTCCACACTATCTCAATATCCCATAATGTCATTAGTCTCCGGAAACTATCTTTTTGTGCTATGCTCAATGATTGAGTTCCATAGGCCCCTGAGGTCATGAATTCCAAAGGTTCACTACTTTCTGACTGAAGAAATTCTTTCTCATCTCAGTCATAAATGGCCTACCCCTTATTCTGAAACTAGATTTACCAGCCAGGAGAAACATTCTGTCCACATGCACCTTGTCACGTGCAATAAGAAAATTAGTGAGTTTTAATGAGATCATATCTCAATCTTTGAAACTCTGGAGAACACAGGCCCAGCTTCAAACTCTCCTCATAAGACAATCTGTTGAATCTCCACCGCACTCCCTCTATAGCAAATATATCTTTTTTTTGATAATGAGACCAAAACGCCATATGTGGTCTCACAAAGGGCTTTATACAGTTGCAGCAAGTTAGTTTTGCATTCAAATCTCTTTGCAGTGAAGGCCAGCATATTATTTGCCTTCCTAATTGCTTGCTGCACCTGTATCTTCTGTGTCTCATGAATAAAGAGACCAATATCTCTTTTTATGTTAATACATCACAACCTTTCACTATTCTCCAGTACTCCATATTTCTATTTTTCTATCAAAGTGGATAACTTCACACCTATTTACATGACATTCCATCCACCATGTTCTAGCCCATTCACTTAACCTGTTCAAATCTCCCTTTGAAGCCTCTTGCATCCTCCTCAAAACTAACATTTGTGCCATCTGCAAATCTGGAGATATTGAATTCTTACACTTACATCTGTATTTGAAATGTCATAACATTTAAGGCTGTCAGCCAAGTGCTGGAAAGTGAGAATTGTGTAGATTTAGAGTAGTCTTTGTTGGTTCAAACTCAATGGGCTGAAGGGTCTCTTCTGTACTGTATAATTCTGTGATTACATTTGGTCCTCACATCGTAATCATGTACATAGGTTATTATTATTATTTTCTGAGGGTCTGGTTGTCCTTTATAATAGATTCTTACATTTCCCCTGGAATTGACATCAAACTAACAGGCCTGTACTTCTCTATTTTCTCTCTCCCTCCTTTCTTAAATAGTGGGGTTACACTTGCTACTTTCCAGTCTGTAGGAAGCTTACCAGAAGCTATAGAATTTTGAATATAACCAGTGCATCCACAATCCTTAGGCCAGCTCTTTCAGCACTTTAGGATGTTGCTGACCTTGTACAGATCATTTATTAGGCTTCAATCCTGTTAATTTTTGGAGTGCAACTTTTTATTAATAATTTTTTTTCAGTTCCTCATTTTTGCAACTCCCTTTGCTCTTCAGGATTTCTGGAAGATTTTCTGCATGATCCTCTGTGATGACAGACGCAAAATAATTCCTTAGTTAGTCTGCCATCTCTCCATTCTCTATTCTCCACTACAAATTCTCCTGTCTCCTCCTGCAATGGACAAAATGTATCCTTGCTAATCAGATTAAGTATTCATATTCTAATTGCAACAAAAATAATTTCTACACTTTTTGCATTTTTAAGAGAAAATGAAGTTATGAGCACTGAATGTGTAGAATTTCACCAGACTCTGCACCAGAGTTCAACGCCATGGAACGGTTTCTCACTGAATTCTCCATCTATACCAATCACAATTAGAGGGTAAAGTTTTAACCAATCAACTGTCACTTGGGACAAGAGCTTTTTTAAGGAACTGAGTCATTGCCTCCAGAACATTTTCCAACTACTAAGTGAAACTGAATTATGTGAAAAAAAAATTCATGTATAGAGTGAGGGATGAAAGCAGTTTCAATGAGAAATTTACTTTTTGTTCTTATATTCTGTAGCATTCTTATTCTGTAGTAAAATAGAATAAAACACAGGATTCTGTGATTGGAGTCCAGCTGGCGCATTACATGAAGAATCACAATTGTTACAAGATGCTTTTCCTTTTGTTTGTTCTTAGATTTGAGCATCACAGGCAAGACCTGCATTTACTGACATCCCTAATTGACCTTGAGAAGATAGTGATGAAGTATCTTCTTGAATTATTGCAATTCATGCCTTATAGGCAAACGCACAGCAATTTTCTCTGTAGTGGACTGTAAAACCTAGTGGCTTAATTTGACAATTAAGAGGGCATTTAAGAATAAAGCACGTTATTACTGACATGGATTTGTTTAGAAAAGTAAGGATGGCAAACTTGCTCCTCTGAAGGATATTAGTGAATAAAATCATTTTTTACGACAATCATGACTATTAATGAGACTTCAATTTTAATCTAGACTTACTACTTGATTAAATTTAAGCCACCTCAAATGCATTGAAATTATATCTCCAAACAATTCATCTAGCTTTCTCAGTTACCAAATTGGTAAAATTACCACAATGCCACCGTCCCCTGTGAAAGAACTCACTGCAACTAAAGCACATAGACTGGGAGAAATAGATTTTAGTTTTGATTTTTGTAAGCACAAAACACACTTGTGAGATTTCAGTCTTACAATATTACTTACAACTGTTAAACTTACCTCTTCAGTTTCTGGCAGTAGTTTCAGCAACTTATTCAATTCTTCAGCACCATACCCTTCAGCAGTTCCTTGTTTGATATCTTCTACAATTTCCCACGCCGATCTTAGAAGGTAATATTGCTCAAACTCAGTACAACATTATTTAAATAGTGTCTGCTTTTAAAAAAAAGTGATGTAAAAGTCATTCTGATCCACTTCTCATGACCTGCTTCAGTGGCACAACTGACACCAGAAGTCTTCAGTTTTACTCAAATTCAGGATAACATTATTTAAACAGTGACTGTTTTTTAAAAAATGTGATGTAAAAGTCGTTCTGAACCAATTCTCAGTTCTACTGGTTTTTAATTCCTTCCTAATTAGTCAAACCTCCATTCTTGAAGCTTTCAGCAAATTATGTCCTTTCTCATCAATAAATTTACATTTGTCTTGTAACTCAAGGGAAGTTTTAACTCTTATTAATAACTAGTAGTTCAGTTGGGCAATCTTTTAAAACAATTCAAACAAAAAATCAGATACATGATGAAAATTTAAAACAAAAATGGATAACGCTGGAAATATGCATCACCTCTGTCAAGCATCTGCAAAGAGACAAAACATTTCCAGTGGATTCCTTTGATTTATCATTACAATGAAAATAAGCAACAGCATTTACTGTTTTTTTTTCACACTTGCTGAAGCAGCTGTTGTCTCCTCCTGAGAAATGGTCGTGAAAAATTTCAATGGTAACAAGCATCCAATGTATTAGTAAAGAAAATATTTTTGAAATTCTAATTCGTTGAAGTCAACATTTTCATCTTTACACAGGTAGCAGTGAGAAATTGGGCTCATGGAACCCATCTTTTTGGGTGTTAGGTGTGCCCTTGGAGCTCCAAAGTGGTACCCATGACATATGCACACAAGTAGGAAGAATCACACTCGATGTCTACTGGCATAGGCGTTGGTGTATACAGCAAGCAGATTAAGGTATCAAACAACATGAGATTTAATGACAGTGTTTCCGTTTTGAAACTCAAGATTCTAACCATCATTCACCTTGTTCAGTATCATTGGCCTGCTGTCACAACCCAGTAGTACTTAAAGTAATCATTAACTTTGTACAAATGTATTGCTAGCTGATTTCTTCAGGATGCTTCTATGGGCAGAATTTTCTGCTTTCTATGGTGGCATTGTAAAAACTGGTGGGACTCCGTCTCCACTGCAAATGGGAATGGTCATTGGATCTTGTGCCTAACAGACATTTGAGTGGGTTCAGGCAGCCTACTGTGTGTTCCCTGAGGGGTTGGGAATGCTGGCCAGCTTGAACACCCAGTGAAGATACCGGCAATTATCACTCAGACTTTAATGTCAGGAATTGTCGCCATCTAGTTTCTATTCACTGCCTGGGAAAATAGCAAACTACACAAAAACAAGATGTGATTAGGTCATAATGAAATGGTAAAGCCTCTGAATAGGCTTCTCACCATTCACTAGTGAGATTCCCATCTTGCTATTAAAACCTTGAATGGAAAATTGGACTTTTTGCTTATTTTTCCAGTCTCACCATATTTTATCAACTGATTCATAATTGCCCATGTTGTTGAGGAGATTGGAAATTTTTTTAAAAACTTAACAGATGTATTAGAATTATTTATACTAGAATTAATCAAACTACTGACCTACTGATGAGCATTATATTGTTCGCCACGGTTCTTAAAATCTTCACAATCTACCTGATTCCAGCACCTACAGTAACAACTGTCCTCCATAATCATAGCATATTGTTAAGTTTATCCAAGAAAAAACACTTGTTCTTTACAATGCTATCTTGTGTCCTTCATTTCCTGAGGATATCTTAAAATATTTCACAGCCAATTAATAACTTTTTATAAATTATTTTATTATCAAATGCATAAGCCACATGACACATCAGGTTCCCATAAACTGTAATGAGATAAATCAGTGTCAGATGGTGTAGGATGAGGGACAAACATTATTTAGATTACCAGCAGATCTGCTCTGCTTTCCTTCAAATTCAGGACCTCCTAAATAAAATTGAGCAGATGGAAAAAATTACAGTTTAATGGACTGAATCTTATGAATTTTTTTGGCTGTGGCAGTCTCATCGAATTTTATGATGGGTTTCATTCCAAAAGACCTAGTGAGTTTTCTTGCTGCTCTTACCAAACTTTCCTCATTAACTACCCTGTCCCTGTGGCAACCTCTTGCCTGATTCTAGCCCCATTTTACCATTCCTGGAAGAACTTGCCACTCATAGAACATCCCACAAAGGAACTGCATCCCTGGCACCTACACCATATGGTCTGCATCCTGATAAGCATTGACAATCTGAAAACTGACCTGCTCAATGATGGAAAATCTTTCTGAAGGTATCAGACAGGGGAAACTAGCATTGTGATTCTCTGACAGGGACCTGAAGATCTTGGTTGTTGGAATGGTCAGAGGAGAGTGTCCTCTTCCCAGCAGAGCAGCAAAGGAAGTAACACCAACAGATCCTGGCAGCCTGGTCTAAGGTCACCACCCGAAGGTGTGCTGTTTCCACAGTCCAAAGGAACAGCTGGCAGCATAGGAAGGTTCATGACTTTCACTGTTCCACCAGGATGAGTGCCACATTCTTCTCTGTGTATCTCACACTCACTCCATCTCTGTTACTGCATCCAATTCCCACCAAGGTCCATGCTCTGCTACTCACGCTATTGCATACACCAAATTCCCTCACTCTCTCACATTCCTTAACCTCCAAAAGCAGTAAACCCTCATAGCTTCAGTGCTGCTTACTCCCTCACTCCCTGCACTGGCACTAACAGCTATGTCAGCCACTTATACCTCACTCGATCCCTTCCTTTCATTACAGTATAAAGCGGCACAAAATAGGCCAGAAAGAGCCACAATGGGTGGACACATGCTCGACATTAGGTTCCTCACCCCTTACTAGAGAGTGTTCCAGCACTCATAGGAAAATACAGGACCACTCCTACGGGGATGCCAAAATATCCATGCCACCCCCGCAATTGAGTAAGTACTACTCTTTATTCTACTGTACCTCTCACATTCACCCCACTGTTAGTACCATTATAGCACTTCTAACAGTTGATTATGATGCCTTCTCTCCTGCAGGTGCTGGTAGGATCGCCACAGCCTCAGTGGAGAAACGGGATGTTGCACCAGAGGTGACCTACTTGACCTCTGAGGAAGAGAGTTCTGAGGTCTTGGAGAAAGCATTGGCCAGGCTACCTGCTGCACCCTCCACTAGCTCAGATACTGGCCTCGCGGCGGGAAATATTAGGTGCAGAATATTAGGGAGCAAAAGCAGTGAACACCTTACTGTGACAACTCCACATCTAACTAAGGAAGAAATATCCCACTTACACCTCACTCGATCCCTTCCTTCCATTACAGTATAAAGCAGCACAAAATAGGGCAGAAATAGCCACAATGGGTGGAGGCATGCCCAATATTAGGTTCCTCACCCCTTACTAGAGAGAGTTCTAGCCCTCACAGGAAAATATAGAAGACTGCCAGAGATCAGGTATCTGTAGAGCCCAGGCAGGATAGGACCATGTGGGGTTGGCAATCAGGGACTGCATTGGAATACATGAGGAGGCACTGGTGCAGCATGTGAGTAAGTTGGAAATAATGGCCTCACAGACCAGAGGCTACTGGAATTCAGATCTGCTAATAAGGACTCAGCTGTGTCAAGCATGCAATTGTCTCGCTGCTTCTGTAGACAAGTTGATGGCTGCCATGGTGAGCCACATTCAGCACTCTCATGGTCTGCGGGATATGCCCACAGACTTATATGCCATTACCCTAATATTGGTCCTCATGACGGAAAGGATGGCAACAGGAGGACAGGTTATCTCTTGAGGAATGCCTTCCTCACTGGGAGTCAGGGTGGTGCCATGAGGCACCCAGCTAGAGGAGGAATCACACAGGGGCTCCTCTGGTGTCTCCTCTCAGTACATTCCACAGGTGGCCTGGTTCTCCGCTTCTACCCTGCCTGCTGTCTGTCCTTCCCACCACCACCCCCCTGCCCCCACCCCCACCCCACAACAATATGTAAAAGATCAAGGCAAGGAGTGTCCACTTGCCTCTGGCAAGGAGACTCTCAGCATATGTGAAGTGTTGAGACACAAATGTCCCTGAGGTCATCTGTCCAAACCTCCAGTACTAACAGGCTCCACTATTGAGCAGGCTCTCTCCAACCCAGTTATGAAATCTGGGACTACACAGAAATATAGCTGGAAGGAAAGGAAAAAACTTGGTGTAACTTGCACTTAGCAAAAAAATGTAAGATTCAGCCCATAGAATCTGGTTACAGTAGGGTAGGTCACTCATGAGGACTTACTCTCTTTCCAACAAGAAACACTAATTGTAAGAGACTTTTATATAGTACAGTGCATCCCCTGACTACATACTGTACCCAAATATAATGTGCAAAAGATTTGTTTTTCATTCATCAGAATGTTCAGCTTGAAAAAAATGTTAATGAAAGACACCACAAATGATTTTTTGAAGAGTTCACAAAATACTGAAGTTAGTGTCTGTCAACTATTAGAACTAAAATTTGACTGCACTGTACCTTTTAAACTGTTTAAGAAATATTCCCACATTCATGCTTCGTCTAGAATCCAGGAGAGATATCTACAAAAAAAGACGAAGAAATCCAATGGTCACACTGAGAAATGCTACAGAGGAGTGGAAGAATTTGTGACGATTATTCTGAAAATGAGAAACAGAAGGAGAATAAACAACAGAAAGAAGACAGGTTAAAGAAATACATAAATTAAAGAACAGAAAAAGAGAAAGAGAAACCAAATTTCATTGCTGTTAGTGGGACCTTGCTGATGAAAGAATAATTGCTGATTCCAAATTTCATTGAAGTAGTGCTGCTTCTAGTGGCACAGTACTGAGTTACCTGCAGAGTTCAAGCATAGAAGCTGCAGCTGGCCACTTTCCTCGTACCTGTGTATCTAAAGCAATGGGCATAGAGCACATGCGAACCCTGAATCTGTTTACAGATATTTAAAGGGCAAGATTATGTGTCACTGACAGGCAGGATGATGTATTCCTGACACACATCAATTCTCGGGAATTTGGGGCATAAGGGGAAAGAGTGACCCTAAGGGAACTCTTACAGTACACAGCACCGGAGAGAAAGCAAATTTGGCAAGGTACGACTGAGCAGAGCAGTGGGATAATTTGCAAAGGAGCAGTCCAGTGTTATCTTCACTCAATCCAGAAGCTGAGCTCCTGCAGTGGTGTCAGGATTCAAAGTGACATAGGGCAGGTGGAAACTGCTGAATGTGTAAGTACAGATGGCAAGGAATTGTACCACTATTATTGCTTATAATTTGTAAAGTCTTTATTTTGTGGTTTATAGTTTGAAAAAGCTACATTCCATTTTAATATATCCAGTAAGGAGGAAAGATTCTAAGAGAGGGATAAACCAACCAAGGCCAACCAAGGAAGTTAATGAGAATATAAAGTCGAAAGTAAAGAGCCAATAAGGAGACAAAAGTCAATGATAGCCCCAAAGACTGGGATAAAGAAGACAGAGAAAATAAACCATCAGGGCTAACCAGTGAGGAATATGAAAACGGACAATAAGAGCTTGTTTAAATATATACAAAAAAAGGGAGATGTCCAAATGAACAAAGGCCCCTGGGGAGACAGCGGTGAATTATGTATATTACGGAAATTGCAGGGTAATTAAACAGATATTTTGTATTAGTCTTTACACTGAAAGATACTTTGAACATTCTTACAATAGAATACAGGGGAAGAATTAAGTTCAATCATCATCATTAGAAATGTAGTATTAGACAAATTAATGGGGCTAAAGGCAGATAAGTCCCTTAGACCATCCTAGAATCCTAAAAGAAATAGCTGCAGAGATAGTGGGTGCATTGGCTGTAATTTTCCAAAAATCCTTGGATCTTGAAGAAGCACCAGAGGATTGGAAAACTGCCAACATGACACCCCAATTCAAAATGGGAAGAAGGCAAAGAGTGGATAATTATAGACTGATTAGCCTCACATCTATTGTTGGAATCAAATATTTAGTAATATTTGAGAATTAAGGAAGTAATAGAAGGACATTTGGAAAATCATGATCTAATAAAGCATGGTTGGCATGGTTTCATGAAAGGGAAGTCTTGTCTGGTTAATTTATCTGAGTTTTCAAGGAAGTCTCAACTACCGTGGATAGAGAGGAACCAGTAAATGTGTTGTATTACGACTTTCAGGAAGCATTTGACAAGGTATCTCATAAAAGGTTTAGTCATAACAGCCTATGGTGTTGGAGGTAGTATATTAGTATGAATTGGCTAATGGTCAGGAAACAGCGAGTGGAGATAAGGTGCTCTTTTTCAGGTTGGCAATGTGTTCCACAGGGATCAGTGCTAGCACTGCAACCGTTCACAATATATATTAATGACTTGGAGGAAGGCAACATAAATATAGATGGAAAGCCAAGTTGAGAAAGGGCTACAAACAATTTATAGAGAGATGTTAGGGTAAGAAAGTGGAAAAAGTTGGCAAATGGAGTATAATGTATGAAAATGTCAAGTTGTTCATTTTGGAAGAGAGAACAAAAGAATGGAGTATTATTTAAATAGAGAAAATAGAGAAAAACTGCAGAAAGTTGCAACACTAAGGGACTTGTGGGTACTTGTGCTTGAAAGACAGGTGCAGCAGGTAATCAGGAAGGCTAATAGAATATTGGCCCTCATTTCAAGGGGGTTCAAGTATCCAAGTAGGGAAGTCTTATTGCAAGGTGTTGGTGAGACTATACCTAGAGTACTGTGAGCTGTTTTGGTCCCCTTATTTAAGGAAAGATATTGTTTCCTTGGAGGCAGTTCAGAGGAGGCTGACGAAGATGATCCCTGGTTTCAAGGGATTGTCTTATAAGCAGAAGTTAAATAGGTTGGGACTCTACTCACTGAAGTTTAGAAGAATGAGAGGTGATCTCATGAAACATATTGGATTCTTAAAGGGCTTGATAGGGTAAACGCTGATAGGATATTTACCCTCTTGGGAGAATGTAAGACCAGAGGGCATAGACTCAAAATAAACTAATTTAATACCAAGATAAACCAAGCTAAGACTGAGACAAGAAGGAATTTCTTCTCTCAGACGGTTGTGAGTCTTTGGAACTCCTTGCCAGAGAGAGCAGTGGGGTAAGATAGAAAGATTCTTGATCAGTAGGAGAATCAGGGTTACAGGGAAAAGGCAGGAAAGTCTCTAGACTTAAGGAACGTTGGATCAGCCGTGATCATATTGAATGGCAGAGCAGGCTCGTGGGGCCAAACAACCTATTCCTGTTCCTACTTCTTATAGTCAAATGGTGTTAATACTTATTAACACATTCACTTGTTAATGTAATGCCTGAATACTAAAACAGGACACAATGTGCAGGAACGCTTTTCCTACTCATTCCTGAAACAATAAATATCAGGAAGCAAAATGGGCCTTGTTCCAGGTTAATTAAATGGCATTTTGATGCAGCTGAGTGGCATTTGATTTATTTTTTCACTCAGGCAAAATTGATGAAAGCACTGGACTGAACTGCTGGAGGAGTCTAAAGGTTTCTGCTGATTTCAAGATAGCAAAAAATTTGATTATCCTATGGAAGTATCGGGACACTATGCAGTGTCACTTACTCTTCAGCATGAGAGGGTTATGGAGTAGCAGGGGCAGTTAGAAAAGCTGAACAAGGAGTGAAGGGAAGGACAACACTCATTAGAAGGCTGTTCTCTGAATGGGTTGTGTGGGAGCACCAATGCTAACATTTGATGACCCAGGAACATTTCTTCAGGAGGCTTTTTGTAGAGATTGTAGTGAGGCCAGCCAGGTGGAATATGATAAGTTCCCTGATTTGTCCCAATCAGGGAGCCCTGGCTGACAGATAAGAACAAGGGCGTCAGACATCCTGTTTACTCTGAGAGCTAGCTCTGAGAGAGCTGGATCAGTGTTGAGGACTCTCCATGTGTAAATGAAAGGGTGACTTGGTGACAGGATACTGGCTTCTGTCGAGTTATTTAAGTGGCAACAAGAGAAAAGCACACTCCTAGAGTGGTGGGCGTGTGGAATGTGCTGCCGGCAGTGGTACTGGAGTCAGATACTTTAGAGAGTTTTAAGCGGCTCTTGGATAGGCACATGGGTGATAGTAAAATGTAGGGTATGCAGGGTAGTTTGATCTGAGTAGGATAATAGGTCAGCACAACATTGTGGACCGAAGGGTCCGTACTGTGCTGTACTGTTCTATGTTCTAAAGAAATTCACCCACAACAGTTGACTTTGAGTTGAGGTAAGCATTTCTGGCATTGCACCGTTATCTGGGAAGCTTGACTTGTTCAACTCTGCTGTCAAAGACTGAACCCAGTATGTGCAAAGAATGTGTTATTTTTCTAGGCAAATGACTCTGGAGCAGATGAAAAGCAACAAGTAATTCTCCTGTCAGCTTTTGGACCCGCAGCTTTTCCCATTCTCCGGCATATATATCAATCTTTTCCTACTTACAATCAGTTCTGAAGAAGGATCACTGGACATTAACTCTGCTTTCTCTCCACAGATGTTGCCACATCTGCTGAGTTTTTCCAGTAATTTCTTATTTGTTTCTGATTTTGGGCATCCGCAATTATTTGTTATTTTTTCACAAAATTGTGGTATTCGGTATTCCAGAAAGAATTGGATTATGACTTAAATAGGAACAATTTTCAGTGTTACCAGGAAAAGGTAAGAGATTGGCACGAAGTTAAAATGCTCAGAGGGAGGTGCAGACACAATAGATTCATAGATTCATTGACTCATACACTGTAGGAAAAGGCCCTTTGGCCCATCAGGTCTGCACCATTATAACTACCACTAAAGATGTTCCAATCTCAATTTTGTACACTTTTCCCATGTCCTTGAATTTTATGATATTTCAGGTACTCATCCAAATATTTTTTAAAGGTTGTAAGGTTACCGGCCTCCACTACCTTCCCAGGCAGTACATTCCAGATTCCCACCACCAAATGAATGGAAAAGTTTTCTTTAGCAAATCTCCCCTGTATCTCCTCCCCCTTACCCTAAAACTATACCCTCCTGTGATTGACTCCTCAACTCAGGGGAACATCTGCTCTCTATTCACCCCTGTCCAGAATCTTATACATCTCAATCATGTCTCCCTTCAGTGTTCTCTGCTCTAAAGAAAACAATCCAAGCCTATCTAGGCTGTCCTAAAATCTCAATTTCTCCATCCCAGGGAACATTCTGGTGAACCTCCTGTGTAACCCCTCTGGTGCTATCGCGTCCTTCCTGTAGTGAGGTGACCAGATCAATACCTCAGCTGTGGCCTAATCAACAGTTTATATACAACTCCAACATTACCTCCTTGTTATTATACTCTATGCCATGACTAATGAAACCAAGTGTCCATATGCCTTCTTAACGATCCTATTCATGTACTCGGCTGACTTCAGGGATCTGTGAATAATTACCCAAGATCCCTCTGGTCCTCTAAGCTATCCAGTGTCCTGCCATTCATTAAACACTCCCTCATCTTGTTTGTTCTTCCAAAGTGCATCACCTCACACTTATTAGGGTTAAATACCCTGCCACTGGTCTGCCCATCTGACAAACCCATTTATATCTTCCTGTAGCCTATAACCATCTTCTTCACTACTAACTACTCTACCAATCTTGGTGTCATCTGCAAATTTGCTTAACATTCCCCCTACATTTTCATCCATATTATTTAGGTATATAACAAACAAAAAGGATTCTCGTACTGATCAAAACCGAAAGAACTGTGTATGCTGTAAATCAGGAACAAAAACAAAGTTGCTGGAAAAGCTCAGCAGGTCTGGCAGCATCTGTGAAGCTAAAAACAGAGTTGATGTTTTGGGTCTGGTGACCCTTTCTCAGAAGTTCTGAGGAAGGGTCACTGGACCCAAAACGTTAACTCTGTTTTTAACTTCACAGATGCTGCCAGACCTGCTGAGCTTTTCCAGTAACTTTGTTTTTGTTCCTAATACTGATCCTTGTGTCCTATGACTAAGTCAGTTTCTGATCCATCTCAACAAGTTTCCCTCAATTCCATGTGCATTAACCTTCTCAATCAGTCTCCCATGCGGGACTTTGTTAAAAACTTTGCTAAAATCCATATAAACTACGTCAACTGAACTTCCCTCATCCACACGCTTGATCACATTTCCAAAAAATTTTAACAAATTTATTAGGCATGCTCTCCCTCTGACAAAGCCATGTTGACTATCTCTAATTAACCCATGCCTTTCCAAGTCGGTATTAATTTGCTCCTTCAGAATTTTCTGCAATAGTTTCCCAATGTGAGACTGACCAGTCTGTGATTTCCTGGTTCAGCTCTACCATCCTTCTTGAAAAGTAGAACCACTTTAGCTATCTTCCAGTTCTCTGGCACTTCCCTCAGAAGTGGAATTAAAAATTTGTTTCAGCGCCTCTGCAATTTTCTGTCTCACCTCCAATAGCAGCCTGGGATGCAATTCATCCAAGCTAAGGGATTTGTCCATTTTTAAGCCTGATAGAGCCTCCAATACCTCCCCATTTCCTATGTCAAACTGTGTAATTTCCTTATAGTCCCTTTTCCTGAATTCCATATCTATGTTCTCCTTTTCCACTCAGGCGTTGCCCTCTTGGTCCCTAATGGGCCCTCTTACAATACCTATTTCCCTGGTTAACCTCGTCCCTTTAATGTGGAGGTGCCAGTGTTGGACTGGGGTGGACAAAGTCAGAAGTCACATGACACCAGGTTACCGTCCAACAGGTTTATTTGAAATCACAAGCTTTCGGAGCACGTGATTTCAAATAAACCTTGTTGGGCTATAACCTTGTGTTGTGTGACTTCTGACTTCATCTCTTTAATGTCATTATAAGATATTCTAGGATTTTCTCTAATCCTGTTTGCAAGTCCTTTTTGATGCCCCCTTTTAGCTCTTCTAATTGCTTTCTTAAGTTCCCCGCTGTACTTCCTGTATTCTTCTACGGCTGCAGCTGAATTCTCCCTTTGGACTTGCTGAAAGCCCTTCTCCTCTTTACCATCCAGTTCTGAATTGTCTTAGACATCCAGGGTTCTCTGAACTCATTGCTCCTACATTTGTCTCTGATGGGTACATATTGGACCTATACTCTCCCCAGTTCATTTTCTGAATGCGCCCCAATACTCTACTGTAGACTTACCCGCAACTTCCCAGTCAACTTTGGCCATTTTCTGCCTTATTTTGATAAAATCTGCCTTCCCCAATCCAAAGCCATCTTTTTCAGACCATCATTTTACTTGTCCAGAACAAATTTGAGCCATACCATGTTATGGTTGCTATCACTAAAATATTTCCCCACTGCCACATTGAACACTTGTCTGGCTTCTTTCCCCAGAACCAGATGCAGCACTGCGCTGGCCCTTCTTGGGCCTTCTGCATATTGATGCAAAATGTTTCCCTGATACATTTCAAGAAATCCACCCCCTCTAAACCCTTAACACTATGATTACCCCAATTTACGTTGGGAAGTTGAAATCCCCGAGTATAATTACTTTTACACACCTCTGTGAACTGTCTACTCCTCTATTTCCCGCTGACTCTTTAGAGGCTTATGATACACTCCAAGTAAAGTGGCTGCCCCCTTCCATTCCTAAGTTCTACCCACAAAGCCTTGAAGACCATTTCAGATATCATCTCTTCTTATTGCAGTAATTGACTCCTTAATTAATAGTGCTACACCACCACGCATTTCACACTCTCCTCTGTCTCGCCCAAAATCCTATACTCCAGAATGATGAGTTGCCAGTCTGACCCTTCTCTCAACCATGTTTCTGTGATGACAACAATATCATTAAAGACCATCCAGTCCTGCCGTAATCTCTTGACAATCAACATAGCTGAACTCACTGTAACTTGCTTCCTTTGCTGTCCTGAATGATCTCTTTCCACACTGTAACTTTGTGATTCTGTGAAAATAATAACATTTTTTATCTTCTGTACAACTAAAAATATTACCTCTGCAATTTAAAAAATCTAATACAACTATTGCTTCCCACCCTTCTGTCTTGGAGTTCTTTTCATGAGGTTTTCTTATTGATTCATAGAATGAGGATGTCACTGGCTAGGCCAGCATTGTTGACCATTCCTAATTGCCCAGAGGGCAGTTAAGAGTCAACCACATTGATGTGGGTCTGGAGACACATATAGGTCAGTATGGCAGTTTCCTTTCCCAAAGGACATTAGTGGACCAGATGGGATTTTCCCAACAATTGACAATGGATTCATTAATCTAGACATTTATTGAATTCAAATTCCAGTATGGCCCATGGCAGGATTTGAACCCAGGTCCCCAGAACATGACCTTGAGTCTCTGGATCAACAGTAATACTGCTAGGCCATTGCCTCCCTTCACTGAGGGTATTAAAATAAGCACCTTCAAAACAGAACAGGAAAAGAACAGGAGAAAAGGGTAACAACAGAAGAAAGCAGAATAACACCAAAATACCAAAGCCATCTATTCAGAGGTAATCTTCTAAAAGAGTCTGTCAGGCACAAGCAGTGAATTCTACCCACAGTCTAATACATAAACTGTTTCACTCAAACTAACTTACTCTTTCACCAGTGGAATCTTGGCAATTGTGTTTAAATCTTCTCCAGTGCTTTCGCTCATGGCCTGAAACTTTCTCCACCTGTTCGAATAACTTCTCCATGATTAAAATGTCTAGCTGAAAATCATCATCATACTTGTCCGTTGTCCAGATGTTGTCTTTTCCCAAGATCCTGTCTTTTGGAATAGTGATCCAGTTCACTTTTTTGAATTTGGATTTCTGAAGACTTGGAGAAGATGGTGACTGAAATGGTGATGATGGTGGTGGCAGTGGTGGTGGTAGTACTGGTGGTGGTGGTGGTGCTGGTGGCGGTAGTACCATTGGGTGGTTTTCATTTTGTGACGGAGCAGTACTGACATTGTGGATTGAAGGAAATGGTGTTGAAGGAGAGAGAGGGGAAGGTGTGGAAAGTTCAATCGATTCAGCATATTTGGTTGCCACTGTCATTTCCATAATCATCTCATTATCACCATTTGGTCAGAAGCACCAATGACAGTGTCCACCATCAGGATGCAAATTAGTCAGTATACTGACATGCAAGACTCCATTATCATTCTATGTGTGGAAAACCTTGACATTTACAGTTTCCCAGTTGCCACATGAATTTCCTTATTTAATGTGATGATTGATACTTCAATTGATGATTGATACTTCCATCCTTCAAGAAGGGAAAAGACAGATTACCAACAAAGTATTCAGCTTCCTGAGATTTAAGTTATTGTTCAATACTTGATGTCCAAAATAGATATATCTGAAAAACTAGGTTTTAAGAGAAATGTAACTGTTCTATTTGGACTGTTGCATGCTACAAATTAGTTTGTCATTTAAAGAAGGAACAGAGTGAAATTTTGTACAATTGATCCAGAGAGCAATGGAAGACATATTCAGTTCTACATATGTTAATACAGAAGACACTGTGTTCACAAGAGGAAAGAAGGTGTAAACAAATTGCAACAAAAATAAAATACTGCAGATGCTGAAGATTTGAAATAAACACAGAAAGTGCTGGTGAAACTCAGCAGGTTTGGCAGTCTCTGTGAAAAGTCAACCAGGGTTAATATTTTGAATCAGATGACTGTTTTTTGGAATAGCTCAGGTCCAAAAAGAATTATTGGACTAGAAATATTACCTGTTTCTCTCTCTACAGTTGCTGCTGTGTTTCTCTCACAATTTCTATTTTTAGTTATGTACATATACTGCTTCTGTTTCAACTTGGTAACATGGGTGACAGTTATTCTCTGGGTTGTTCTGTAGGATATTGTAATGACCAACCTGAATGAACTTGCCTGGTTTAAAATGTAAACAAAGCTTGGCAGTTAATTGTCAATCATTATTAAGGGGTGCATTCTCTGTTGTAAACCTCAACCAATCAGGATCCATGTGTTAATCATTCAGAACTCTCCTCTCATAGAGTACGATGCTGTCAATTCTACGCTTTGGAGCTTCTTCTGAATTCTTCTTCAGAAAAGATGAGTACAAGGTGGAAAGCTTTGTCAAAGCATGTCTTTTTTCAGGAATATTCAAGTTCTGTACTATTAGGACTACTGTAGGACTATTAAAAACTAATGATTGTACAACTTTCTTAACTGATAAAAAAAACTATCACAAATATTTCAAAGTATAATTTCCTGGAACGGGGACGCAGACCCTTATTCTCCAAAAAGACCTGGTGACAAAACTTTGAATGTCCTTTCAATAAATGCCAAGGTAAAAGGCTTGCTGGGCCATGTTGGACAGCACCAAGGTGATACACATTACACAAAGGGTTCAGTTTTTTTGAGTGAAAGCCTTTCCTGTTCATGATATTTAATGGGTTAACATTTGGGACCCTGTGTATTGCGGGTATTCTGTAAATTGCTTCCTGCTTTGTGAGAATCCATATTTTGTACAGCTAGATACCTTTTTTTGGTTCCATTACTAAAGATATATATTGTGTAGCCCTCCATAATTGAATACGGAAACAAATGAAGAGCAATTCCTGACTAATGCAGCAATTCTCACTTAATCCTGTCTGGAAGCACTAAGTAGCAAAGAATTTTAAGGCATGATTAGTACGTACAATAAAAATACACGAACTTGTATCTATACAATACCTTTAAATTTAGTAAACACCCTGGAGGGGTGCAAACAAATCTGACACTGAACCACATCAGGAGATACCAGGAAAGATGACACAAACCTGGTTAAAACAGATGTTTTTAAGCAGTGCTTTAAATGCAACAGAGAGAAAGAGACTTGAAGAGGTTTAAGAAAGCAATTCTAGAGTATTAGGGTCTTGGCAACTGAAGTCATAGCTGTTTCTGGTGCAGCAGTTAAAATTAATATTTAACAGACCACAACTGGAGGGGTACAGATATCCTGGAGAACTGCAGAGTTGGAGGAGATTACAGAGACATGGAGGGGCAAGACAATGGAGGGATTTGAAAACAAGAGTGAGAATTTTAAAATCAAGGAGTATGTGATCATCGGCCATCTCAGCTGCCTATCTTAACCGTTGCAACCTTCTAGTTTTCTATGTGAGCTCTCACTAATGGAGTAAATTTTAATTCTCAAAGGACCATTATTTTTGTTTGGGTCTCATTCATAGTCTCAACCTTCAATGCCTCCAATGGTCGAATTCAGATACTCCAAACTTTGTTCCTGTAAGCCTAAGGGACCAACTTGTACACACTAAGAATTGCCACCTCTGCCCTTTCATAAGTTATATTTCATAAGCTTCCTCAGTTTGGAAGTCATAAATCTTATAAGCGCTGCCTGTCAACCTTTTTTGCATGAGCAGTATAGTTTTCATTCAGCAACCTCCTCTGCTTAGTTAGCTTTATAAAAATAAAGATGAAAAATGCCTCAGCAACTGATTCATCAAATTTTGGGAGGGTTTGCACAAATATAAACAGTTCTCCACTGGCTCTTGGATTAGACTCAGATCTTTCCTCACCAGAATATTCCCTGGCATCAGATCACTTCTTTCATATATCCAACCTTTTAGGTGTTTTCCTAATCAGTGCTCCGAGATGTTACTATAAACTTCTACAGCAGGTAGGATGTGAATCTGGGTTTCCTGGTTCAGAGGCAGGGACACTACCACTGAGACACAAGAGCTCTTAAGGTCCAACCTTTCAAGCTGATATTCTCTCTGTCATTTTCCCTCACTTCAAATTCTAGCTCT